ATTACTTCTATTCTAATAAATCTAAAAAGTTAAAACGTCGATACATGGCTTGATTTAGCAACATGTATACGTACTTGGGCAATATCCTAGGTGCCATGGATACTGCATATGTATTATGTGTAATACATGTATTAATTATTTCACGGGTATACTGGAAAAACATCCACAGTACATTTTTCACATCAGGGCAGACCATGCCTCCGCGCACACACACACCACACACACACACACACACACAAACACACACACACACACACACACACACACACACACACACACACACACACACACCACACACACACACACACACTCCAGGGCGCTCCAGTGGATAAGGGAGTACCTAAGCAATAGGAAGCAGAGAGTTACAGTGAGGGGTGAGACCTCAGACTGGCGTGGAAGTCACCAGTGGAGTCCCACAGGGCTCTGTACTTGGACCTATCCTGTTTCTGATATACGTAAATGATCTCCCAGAGGGTATAGACTCATTCCTCTCAATGTTTGCTACGACGCCAAAATTATGAGAAGGATTAAGACAGAGGAGGACAGCTTGAGGCTTCAAGAAGACCTGGACAAGCTGCAGGAATGGTCGAACAAATGGCTGTTAGAGTTTAACCCAAGCAAATGTAATGTAATGAAGATAGGGGTATTAAGCAGGAGACCAGATACAAGATACCATTTGGGAGATGAAATACTTCAAGAGTCCGAGAGAGAGAAAGACCTGGGGGTTGATATCACGCCAGACCTGTCCCCTGAAGCCCATATCAATTGGATAACATCAGCGGCATATGCCAGGTTGGCTAACATAAGAACGGCCTTTAGAAACTTGTGTAAGGAATCTTTCAGAACATTATTACCACATATGTCAGATCAATCCTGGAGTATGCGGCTCCAGCATGGAGTCCATATCTAGTCAAGCATAAGACTAAACTGGAAAAGGTTCAAAGGTTTGCCACCAGACTAGTACCCGAGCTGAGAGGTATGAGCTACGAGGAGAGACTACGGGAATTAAACCTCACTTCGTTGGAAGACAGAAGAGTTAGGGGGGACATGATCACCACATTCTAGATTCTCAAGGGAATCGACAGGGTTGATAAAGAAAGGCTGTTTAACACAAGGGGCACACGCACTAGGGGACACAGGTGGAAAAACTGAGTGCCCAAATGAGCCACAGAAATATTAGAAAGAACTTTTTTAGTGTCAGAGTGGTTGACAAATGGAATGCATTAGGAAGTGATGTGGTGGAGGCTGACTCCATACACAGTTTCAAGTGTAGATATGATAGAGCCCAGTAGGCGCAGGAACCTGTACACCTGTTGATTGACGGTTGAGAGGCGGGACCAAAGAGCCAGAGCTCAACCCCCGCAAACACAACTAGGTGAGTACAACTAGGTGAGTACAACACACACACCACACACACACACACACACACACACACACACACACACACACACTCACACACACACACACACACACACACACACACACACACACACACACACACACACACACACACACACACACACACACACACACACACACACACACCTGGCTACGTGAGACCCCACACCACATATACTGTTCAATAAATCCCTGAACTATATGTTTACAGATCTCTCACCCTGTCCATGGAGGACAGAAGAAAATGTATATATGCTGGTTAGCATTGTAAATGTCTGGCCACGTCTGTGGTAGAAAATAATAATAATAAAAAAAAAAAAAAAAAAAAAACATATACCATCGATAGCGACTAAATAAACTGAATACTGGGAGAAGGAAGAGTAAGAAGAGAAGGAAGAGAAGGAAGAGAAGGAAGAGGGAAGGAAATCTCTCTTCCCCCCTTCCACCACACAATATTCACACTGACAGCTGGTGTTATGGGGGCTGACGGCGCTCTATACCACATCGGCCTAACCAACAATCTCACACCAAGCAAATCACCCTTATGCCGGGAGACAGAGGGACTCTGGCCAACACAACTGGTGGCCATGGCCTCTCTGGGCCCTCCCTTGGGCCATTGGAGTGTCGAGTAACAGACAGGAATTAACACTGACCCATGTAATTAAAGGAGTTAAAATATTATCATACAATGCCATGATTGGAGTGTTTGAGCCGAGTGTGAGAGTTGAGTGTGTGAGTGTGTGAGCTGAGTGTGTGAGCCAAGGGGGGGGGGGGGGGGGGTTCGAAGGAGAGTGTTAAGGCAAAGTTAGGTTTAGCATCAGCAGTCCTGCAGAGTCAATAGATGACAAGGAGGATTAATTCAGAGGATGAATGGAGCTAACATGAACTTTTATTATTGTGGGTTGAGAGGGAAGGTGCTGGCTGCTTGTCCCCTCTCCCTCTCTCTCAGCGGTGGTGATATGGCCCTTCCTGCCCGAGGGCACAAGGGCTACATTACCCCCCCCTCACACAAGCGCTCCCACCATCGGCTCATTGTGTCATTTTCGAGGGGAGACTAAAAGTCATTACCGAGGGTGGGCGGCGGGTTCCCCACTCCCACTCCCCTCCCCAGGGGAACGATGGGGGGGAGAGTGGGTAGGGGATTGGCTGAGAGGATGGTACTACCCCTTACACACACACACGCACGCACACACACACACACACACACACACACACACACACACACACACACACACACACACACACACACACACACACACACACACACACACACACACACACACACACACACACACACACACACACACACACACACACACACACACACACACACACACACACACACGCGGTGGCCTGCCTCTTGCCTCGTTCCCCAACTGATTATTAGTCAATGATGACTGTGTCACGGGTGGTTGGTACCTATTTGGGAGGGTGTTGGGGGGAGGGAGGGAGGAGATGGTGAGAGGGAAGTGGGGGAGGGGAAAAAGAGAGGGGGAGAAGGAGGAGGAGGAGGAGGGGGGGGGCGTGGTTTTGAGATTACTGGCGAGTGAGATGATTCTGGAAGACGTAGTTAAGAAAGCTTACCAAACAAGGACTACTCTAAGCAGTGGGCATCTATGAAAACACTTTGTCTATGGCCTCTCAGTATCTTGTATGTCGTAATTATATCCACCTGCATTTTTTTCTGTCCTCTAGGGGCTTCGAGATCAAGTTATTTTAACGTCTCTTCTTATAACTTATAAATCTCAATTAAATTATTGTTTTGTGCTTCACAAGCTGCGGATTCGCGGCCGGTGCTGCATATTCCAGCATTGGTCTAACGAAGGTTGTGAAAAAGATTATCTTGGGTCGTAAGTTAGGTCTCCAGCCAACGTTCTGATTATTTGCCAGTTTCTCATATGCCGCTGATGTTACCCGGTCTATGTGTGCCTCCAGTGTATAAATGTCATCAACACTGGGTATATATCAATAGTAAAATTGGCTATCCTCTATGGGGGGGGGGAGGTGTTATCAAAGCCATCCTCTGAAAGATAGGCCGAACAGCCAGCCAATAGGAATCCCAGTAGATTAGGCCGACAGCTGCCATTGGTCAGAGGGGTTCCGACCCCCCCCCCACAACGATGCTCGTGGCAGTTCATTGGCTCCTCCCCCCCCTATCTGGTCACGTGACCGCTGGCGTTCACCAGGACGTTCACCTACCATCTATAGAGTCCTTGTAGGAGACTCGAACCGCTGAACCCCTCCACGCGTGTGCTCTTTCGAGCGCGCTATTGAGGAGCATTAATAGGGAAAGTTTCCAGAAGTAGCATATATCCTGCTGCCGAACTGGAACGATTGTGCTGGCCTTAATAACCCTTCAGGGGTCGGTAGGTCTTAAGCCCAACACCAATATGCTGTTTCTATAATTATACTACTTATTATACTACTTATAGTACTTATTATACTACTTATAGTACTTATTATACTACTTATAGTACTTATTATACTACTTATAGTACTTATTCAACTACTTGAACAGGACGGTAACGACTATACAGGTCGGCGTTCAATCCCCCGAGACCGTCCACAAGCACCATTCCTTTCCCCCGTCCCATCCCAAATCCTTATCCTGACCCCTTCCCAGTGCTATATAGTCGGAATGGCTTGGTGCTTTACCCTGATCATGGATAATGGGCTTTACCTTGAATATCTATAAAATAGAATGAATATTTGTCTACAGTTTGAGGTAAGACGCTAAGGGATAGCCTCACCCAACTTTTCAATGATACGTAAGTGGTAGGGGACTGCCATAGGCAAGTCGAGGTCAGCCCCATTGCCACGTTTTAAAAGGATCGGCTGTTAATGCGACTCCCAGGCGACTACTGTGATGGTTGAAATTGTGGGTTGGTTTACCAGAGAGTTTTGTAAGAAAAAATAATATAAATTGCGTGCTCTGAGAGTAAGAGCAAGGTTGAGAAAGAGGGGGCAGGGGCAAGAGGTTATCTTGAGGCTATCTTGAAATGATTTCGGGGCTTAGCATCCCCGCGGCCAGGTCCTCGACCAGGCCTCCTTTTTGTTACACCCCCCCCCCCTTCCCAGGAAGCAGCCCGTAGCAGCTGACTAACACCCAGGTACCTATTTACTGCTAGGTAACAGGGGCATCAGGGTGAAAGAAACTCTGCCCATTGTTTCTCGCCGGCGCCGGGAATCGAACCCGGGACCACAGGATCACGCGTCCAGCGTGCTGTCCAATCAGCCACCAGCCCCCTGTAGCGCCCAGTTAAAGACCAAACAACAAGGAAAACAACAAGAATCAAAACAAGGTCCACAAAAGTGGGCGAATTGTCTACACAAAAGTACCTTAGCTTTTGTTTGTTTGTTTGTTTGTTTGTTTGTTTGTTTGTTTGATGAAGAGCTTGCAAGACAATAGTTTACATATCCATCCATCCACCCAACTTTTGAACCAGTCGGTATATATATTCTAGACATCGCCTGTTACAGAACCGCGTTCGATTCCCGATGCACCAAGTGGGTGAGCGCCATTCCTTTCCTCCGTCCCTCCCCCCCCCCCTCCTACCATCTATTCCAGGACCTATTCTATCCTACTATCCCGTTCCACACAGCCCTTCCAGGTCCTGTAGTGTTGGATACGATTATCCAACACCGCAGCAGACTCGGGCAGGTAAGAACGGCAACACCGCAGCAGCCTCACGCAGACAACAAGCAGCGGCAACACCGCAGCAGACTCGGGCAGGTGACAACGGCAACACCGCAGCAGCCTCACGCAGACAACAAGCAGCGGCAACACCGCAGCAGACTCGGGGAGGTGACAACGGCAACACCGCAACAGCCTCACGCAGTCAACAAGCAGCGGCAACACCGCAGCAGACTCGGGCAGGTGACAACGGCAACACCGCAGCAGCCTCACGCAGTCAACAAGCAGCGGCAACACCGCAGCAGACTTGGGCAGGTGACAACGGCAACACCGCAGCAGCCTCACGCAGACAACAAGCAGCGGCAACACCGCAGCAGACTCGGGCAGGTGACACAGGCAACACCGCAGCAGCCTCACGCAGACAACAAGCAGCGGCAACACCGCAGCAGACTCGGGCAGGTGACAACGGCAACACCGCAGCAGCCTCACGCAGACTGTGGGAACCGACCTGTGAGATTTATATTAATTTATATGAATTTATATTTACGTTAATTTATATACTTCGATAGCAATTTGTATGATGTTAAGTGGACTGTATTTCTGCAATAATCTCATAATCTCACAAATCGATCCTCTACACATTAGGGGGGGTTTATATTGAATTTATATATATGCAGCCAATCAAACTACAGTATTAGACTACATACATTGAAGAGGTTCCTTATCTTATTGTACAGCAGGCCTTAGTCCACCAGGTATAACCAGGATGTAGACACCAAATTATCCTCTTTGAGGTAGCTTCCATCACCCAGTAACTGGTACACAAAGCATGCTTCCTCGTCTTGACCTGTCAAAAGGGAGCTAGCTGTAAAGCCAGAATCCTAATATATGACAGCTATATCAGAGAAAACACTGTACAAGGAACCATAAAGACCTAGGCTTAATTACCTTTTATTAAGAGACAGTTCGTATTCTAACCAGCTCGCCCTTTATATCTACCTAATATTCATGGCCACAAATAATTAGATAAACGGGTTTCGGCAGAACACTTAACTTGTATTTGTTGACAGCGTGTTGATGATGGTACACCTTTGGCTTCCATAACACTTCGTCCAAGTAAAATTAACAGGAGCCGAATTGCTCCCGTGCCTCTGGTCTAAGTACAATAACAATGGCTGACCACTCCCTCACAACTGACGCTACTGGTCTACATTGTCCAGATGACAGTAAGTGATAGAAGGGTCACATTTACTCTATTTTAATTCTGATAATTAAGTTAATTTATATGAGATGTTTTTATGATGGTAAAGTCCAAAGACTAATGTATTTAAGAATAATTCCCACCATAATAGGTGGTGAATTTATAATAGTATGTGGTAATGATATCCCGTTTTCTATAGACGGAAATTCCACTACAAGTTACATTTTCTATGGGTTAACTTGTTTATACAACACAGCAATATTATCTGTCTGTATGATATTATTAAATGGTGTCGGATTTTCCGACACAGACAACAAACAGCGGCAACACCGCAGTAGACTCGGGCAGGTGACAGCGGCAACACCGCAGTAGACTCGGGCAGGTGACAGCGGCAACACCGCAGTAGACTCGGGCAGGTGACAGCGGCAACACCGCAGCAGACTCGGGCAGGTGACAGCGGCAACACCGCAGTAGACTCACGCAAAGCAACAAACAGCGGCAACACCGCAGTAGACTCGGGCAGGTGACAGCGGCAACACCGCAGTAGACTCGGGCAGGTGACAGCGGCAACACCGCAGTAGACTCACGCAAAGCAACAAACAGCGGCAACACCGCAGTAGACTCGGGCAGGTGACAGCGGCAACACCGCAGTAGACTCGGGCAGGTGACAGCGGCAACACCGCAGTAGACAACAAACAGCGGCAACACCGCAGTAGACTCGGGCAGGTGACAGCGGCAACACCGCAGCAGCCTCACGCAGTCAACAAACAGCGGCAACACCGCAGCAGACTCACGCAAAGCAACAAACAGCGGCAACACCGCAGCAGACAACAAACAGCGGCAACACCGCAGCAGACTCACGCAAAGCAACAAACAGCGGCAACACCGCAGCAGACAACAAACAGCGGCAACACCGCAGCAGACAACAAACAGCGGCAACACCGCAGCAGACTCACGCAAAGCAACAAACAGCGGCAACACCGCAGCAGACAACAAACAGCGGCAACACCGCAGCAGACAACAAACAGCGGCAACACCGCCGCAGACAACAAATAGCGACAACACCGCCGCAGACAACAAACAGCGGCAACACCGCCGCAGACAACAAACAGCGGCAACACCGCAGCAGACAACAAACAGCGGCAACACCGCAGCAGACTCACACAAAGCAACAAACAGCGACAACACCGCAGCAGACAACAAACAGTGGCAACACCGCAGCAGACAACAAACAGCGGCAACACCGCAGCAGACAACAAACAGTGGCAACACCGCAGCAGACAACAAACAGCGGCAACACCGCAGCAGACTCACACAAAGCAACAAACAGCGACAACACCGCAGCAGACAACAAACAGCAGCAACACCGCAGCAGACAACAAACAGCGGCAACACCGCCGCAGACAACAAACAGCGACAACACCGCAGCAGACAACAAACAGCGACAACACCGCAGCAGACAACAAACAGCGGCAACACCGCAGCAGACAACAAACAGCGGCAACACCGCAGCAGACAACAAACAGCGGCAACACCGCCGCAGACAACAAACAGCGACAACACCGCAGCAGACAACAAACAGTGGCAACACCGCAGCAGACAACAAACAGCGGCAACACCGCAGCAGACAACAAACAGCGACAACACCGCAGCAGACAACAAACAGTGGCAACACCGCAGCAGACAACAAACAGCGGCAACACCGCAGCAGACAACAAACAGTGGCAACACCGCAGCAGACAACAAACAGCGGCAACACCGCAGCAGACAACAAACAGCGACAACACCGCAGCAGACAACAAACAGTGGCAACACCGCAGCAGACAACAAACAGCGGCAACACCGCAGCAGACAACAAACAGCGACAACACCGCAGCAGACAACAAACAGTGGCACCACCGCAGCAGACAACAAACAGCGGCAACACCGCAGCAGACTCACACAAAGCAACAAACAGCGACAACACCGCAGCAGACTCACACAAAGCAACAAACAGCGGCAACACCGCAGCAGACTCACACAAAGCAACAAACAGCGGCAACACCGCAGCAGACTCACACAAAGCAACAAACAGCGGCAACACCGCAGCAGACTCACACAAAGCAACAAACAGCGGCAACACCGCAGCAGACTCACACAAAGCAACAAACAGCGGCAACACCGCAGCAGACTCACACAAAGCAACAAACAGCGGCAACACCGCAGCAGACTCACACAAAGCAACAAACAGCGGCAACACCGCAGCAGACTCACACAAAGCAACAAACAGCGGCAACACCGCAGCAGACAAACACAACACCGCAGCAGACAACAAACAGCGGCAACACCGCAGCAGACAACAAACAGCGGCAACACCGCAGCAGACAACAACACAGCGGCAACACCGCAGCAGACAACAAACAGCGGCAACACCGCAGCAGACAAACAGCGGCAACACCGCAGCAGACAAACAAACAGCGGCAACACCGCAGCAGACAACAAACAGCGGCAACACCGCAGCAGACAACAAACAGCGGCAACACCGCAGCAGACAACAAACAGCGGCAACACCGCAGCAGACAACAAACAGCGGCAACACCGCAGCAGACAACAAACAGCGGCAACACCGCGCAGACAACAAACAGCCGCCGCAGACAAACAAACAGCGCAGACCGCAGCAAACAAACAGCGGCAACACCGCCGCAGACAAACAAACAGCGGCAACACCGCCGCAGACAAACAAACAGCGGCAACACCGCCGCAGACAAACAAACAGCGGCAACACCGCCGCAGACAACAAACAGCGGCAACACCGCCGCAGACAACAAACAGCGGCAACACCGCAGCAGACAACAAACAGCGGCAACACCGCAGCAATACACCATCTCAACACCATCTCAAAAAAATACAATTTTCTTCGCTCCTCTACGTATCCTCCTTAATTTAATTTATTTATTTATTTTTTCCCAGCGTGGACATCATGTTGCTTGATTCAATTTCCATCTGCCTGGAATTATGGAATGATTCCAGTTGCTGCAATGGCGTCTGCAATGACTCCTTGAGGGCCTCCTTGCTAAGCAGTAACGCCAACCTGCCCTAACCCTCAAGATGGCGCTTGTGGGCAGCAGATTTTCACCCTTAGGGCCCAAGGGCAGTAAGGGTCATTGCTGAGACGCGGCTCGAGCTTACGACCTTGGGGTCGTTGGGGTAATTTCATTTCCTCCGTCATATTTCTGGCTCTCATATACACGTCGTTCTTAAGATCAACAGAGTCACTGGCTTGGTCTTTAGACCAAACTGGTCGCTGGGGTGGGACGGCGTACGGGTCGTTATTCGGGGTGTCGTTTCTGCCGGGGGTTCGAAGCCCCTTGTGCGCGTGGAGGCCGGCCAGCGGTTGTTAGACCCGTGTCGTAGCTCGGCCAGATTATCCTAGTTTTATCAAATAATTTCTATTGAAGACGTCATCTCGGCCCCATTTGCTTGATAGAAGGAGCCATTCAGGCAGCGGGTGGGGGTGGAGGGTGGGTTGGGGGTGGAGGGTGGGTTGGGGGTGGAAGGGGTTAGGGTGGAAGGGGTGGAAAGGGTGGAACGGGGGGGGGGGACAGGGGGGGCACTTTTGGAGGCGAGGATGGTGGTAGTTCATGCCATGGTGCGTGTGTGTGGAGGTGGCTGAGTGGACAGAACACTAGATTCTTCCTGGGGGTGGAGGCCTAATCGAGAACCGGACCGCGGGGGACACTAAGCCCCGAAATCATCTCAAGATAACTCAAGAGGGAGAAAACTAACTCAAGATCACACACACCGTCGAACGCGGTGCCATAAACAGTGCTGTACTATAAAGGAAGTACTCTCTAGAGTACCTTCTGAACACCCCCCAGTAGCCGTCAGCCCAAAGGCTTTCTGGCCTAATGCGCACATTTACTGTCTTTACGGTACTCCAGTACAGTAAAGTACATCTCCTTGAAGCTGTACCTGTCCCCTTAGCATGCGCGTTACTACGGTACTTTCTCCTACTCAGGGTACTCACTACCAACCCTTGAGAATAAGAATAATGGTAACTGCTGAAGGCCTATTGGCACCTGTACGAGGCAGCTCCTATTGACACCCACTTGTCGATTTATTTGACTTTTTCGGAAAAAGTACTGACAGTACTTTCACGGAAAATTCATAGAAAAGGAGGCCAGGGGGAGAGGTATGAGGAATCTTGAGATGATTTCGAGGCTTAGTGTCCCCGCGGCCCGGTCCTCGACCAAGCCTCCACCCCCCAGAAAGCAGCCCGTGACAGCTGACTAACTCCCAGGTACCTATTTACTGCTAGGTAACAGGGGCATGAGGGTGAAAGAAACTCTGCCCATTGTGTCTCGCCGGCGCCCGGGATTGAACCCGGGACCACAGGATCACGCGTCCAGTGTTCTATCCGCTCAGCCACCGGCTCTCCAGGCAGGGAGGAATATGAGGGACGACGAGAGGAATAATGAGGTGCTAGAAAATGAGGGGGAAGAGGAATGGCAGGTGGGTGTAAAGAGGAATCAGGGAGAAATGGGAAAATAAAGAAAAGATAAGAAAAAAAATGATTGGAGATAGGATGTAATCGACAAGTTAGTGTCTATCAACCTGGCCATCTAATAGAACGCTTCATCGTTCCGTGCATTCTAACGTATGCACGATGAACAATAAACAGTGACGATGAACAATAAACAGTGACGATGAACAATAAACAGTGACGATGAACAATAAACAGTGACGATGAACAATAAACAGTGACGATGAACAATAAACAGTAAGAACAATAAACAGTGACGATGAACAATAAACAGTGACGATGAACAATAAACAGTGACGATGAACAATAAACAGTGACGATGAACAATAAACAGTGACGATGAACAATAAACAGTGACGATGAACAATAAACAGTAAATGAACAATAAACAGTGACGATGAACAATAAACAGTGACGATGAACAATAAACAGTAAATGAACAATAAACAGTGACGATGAACAATAAACAGTGACGATGAACAATAAACAGTGACGATGAACAATAAACAGTGACGATGAACAATAAACAGTGACGATGAACAATAAACAGTGACGATGAACAATAAACAGTAAATGAACAATAAACAGTGACGATGAACAATAAACAGTGACGATGAACAATAAACAGTAAATGAACAATAAACAATAAACGGTGACGATAAACAGGCGATGAGTCACAATAACGTGGCTAAAGTAAGTTGACCAGACCACGCACTAGAAGGTGAAGGGACGACGACGTTTCGGTCCGTCCTGGACCATTCTCAAGTCGATTGACTTGAAGAATGGTCCACGACAAACCGAAACGTCGTCGTCCCTTCACCTTCTAGTGCGTGGTCTAGTCAACACTCTTCCCAAAGCCCCAAAAATTGTCGCGCTAGAAAATGGAAGAAACTCTAATATACGACAGTATCAATAACTGTGTTAAAAGTTAATGTGCACTACACCACAATCTTATCACTATCATATGACACAAATATCCTGAAACAGAAGGAAAGCAAATTTGGAAAACATGGCCGGCTATTTGTAAAAATATTATTGTCAGTCGATTATTAACAGATGTTTTTTCAACATGTTGATGACTGACTTATAGCAATTATCGATTTAAACAATTTTCCTAGAATATACATTAAGCTAATTGGCGGATAGTTCGTTGCAAGAAATCTTTCCCCTCGTTGCAAGTGATCTCTTCCCCCTTGTGAAGGGCACAATATTTGGAACTTCCCCACAATTCCAGTACTTAGCTTGATTGCAATGATTCATTGGATATGAAAGTAAAGGGTTCACTTAGCTTATCTTCACAGTCTTTCAGGACCCCGGCAAGACTTCCCGTGATGGCTAAAACACACACACCAGAAGATGATGATGAGACGACGACGTTTCGGTCCATCCTGGTGGACTCTTATCAAGTCCATTGTGATCACAATCGACGTGATAATGGTTCACATTGGACCGAAACGTCTCTTCATCTTCTGGTGTGTGTTTTAGTTATCATATCTTCAGCCACGTTATCGTAACTCATCTTCTGCACTTTCCAGTTTCCACAGACTGCTAACACATGCTTTTATTGTCCTAATTTCCCCAGATCCATTCCCATACCTTAATTATCCAGCAGTTTACACCCAGATTAAACCGCCCTTTCAATAAGATATTCCAAAGAATTTAGCAAAAGTCATTCCTTTCAAACTTAGAAAAATTACCCCCTCCCCCCTCCCCACCCACCCAAGGATTCATATCATACTTCCCATAGAAGTGTTGCAAGTTATAAATTATGGAGAGAACATTTGAGTTGCAATGTTATAGTTGATTATTGACTTAAAATGTCTTCATTTCCAACTGACCTTCTTGGAGAAAGGTCTCATATGATCGGGATCAGTGCTTTGCTTGTAACTAAATCAATTTATATAACTAAATCAATGCTTGTAACTAAATCAATGCTTGTAACTAAGTCAATTCATGTAACTAAATCAATTCATGTAACTAAATCAATTCATGTAACTAAATCAATTCATGTAACTAAATCAATTCATGTAACTAAATCAATTCATGTAACTAAATCAATTCATGTAACTAAATCAATTCATGTAACTAAATCAATTTATATAACTAAATCCATTCATGTAACTAAATCAATTCATGTAACTAAATCAATTCATGTAACTAAATCAATTTATATAACTAAATCCATTCATGTAACTAAATCAATTCATGTAACTAAATCAATTCATGTAACTAAATCAATTTATATAACTAAATCCATTCATGTAACTAAATCAATGTATATAACTAAATCAATGCTTGTAACTAACTCAATGCTTGTAACTAAATCAATGATTGTAACTAAATCAATGATTGTAACTAACTCAATGCTTGTAACTAAATCAATGCTTGTAACTAACTCAATGCTTGTAACTAAATCAATGATTGTAAATAAATCAATGATTGTAACTAACTCAATGCTTGTAACTAAATCAATGCTTGTAACTAACTCAATGCTTGTAACTAAATCAATGATTGTAACTAAATCAATGATTGTAACTAACTCAATGATTGTAACTAAATCAATGATTGTAACTAACTCAATGCTTGTAACTAAATCAATGCTTGTAACTAACTCAATGCTTGTAACTAAATCAATGTAAATAACTAAATCAATGCATTACCAGACATGATATCACTCATGTCATTAACAATACACCCCCCAATTCCCGCTCCAGAGTAACAAAGCTGTTTGTACTCTACTTTAGCACAGCAAAAAGTCCCTGTGAAACACACCTCGTCTGTGTATCACCTTAAAGAGCAACGCAGCTTCATCAACTCACATTCTCAAGAATTCGAAGGACGTGTTTCAGATGTTCCAGCCTCTGATGACCCGAGGGAAGCCCTAGCGTCCCCTTGGGGCTACTTAGCTCCCCTTAGGAAGGGGGTACGTGACGCCACGTGCCTCGTGGTCTTGAGGGGAGACACGTGCAAAGGGGGAAGTGGAAGCAACGGGAGAGGGGAGGGCCTACGGCCGAGGGGAAAGTCTATATACCGTTCAGAGTAAAGGAGGAAAACTGTACTTGCCTACGTCCATTCTTTGATGTGTTTTTCACGAAGCAGTTACGCAAGCACTTACGAAATACCAAATTCACGAAGCAGTTACGCGAGCACTTACGAACCACCAAATTCACGAAGCAGTTACGCGAGCACTTACGAACCTGGGGCTAGATTAATGAAGAAGTTACGCAAGCACTTATGAACTTGGGGCTAGATTCACGAAGCAGTTACGCAAGCACTTACGAAATACCAAATTCACGAAGCAGTTACGCAAGCACTTATGAACCTGGGGCCCAGATACACGAAGAAGTTACGCAAGCACTTACGAACCTGGGGCCCAGATTCACGAAGCAGTTACACAAG